GCAGGACACGTGGCACGCCCAGTGACTTCCCCAGGGCAGCACCTCCTGGCCCCTGAAGACGTAGTCAGCTGCTGTCTGGACCTCAGCGTGCCGTCCATCTCCTTCCGCATCAATGGCTGCCCTGTGCAGGGCGTCTTTGAGTCCTTCAACCTGGACGGGCTTTTCTTCCCTGTTGTCAGCTTCTCGGCTGGTGTCAAGTGAGAACTCGCCCCCGCCCCTTGGCCAGTCCTCAGTCCTAGGACTGACCCGGGACAGCTTCCCAGTCATTCCATGGCCTCCCAGCAGGAGGCTGGGACACTGCAGTCTGCCATCAAGACTGACCAGTGGCCACAACCCTTACTTGAAGGTCCCAGGGACCTCCACGTGACCCCAGACTCTTTCCAATGACTTCAGATTCTCCCTAACCCCATGTCCTTCTAGTAACCTCTGAGATAGTGATCTCAGACTCTCCTAGTGGTCTCTCGACAACCCAATATTCTTCCAGTGACCTGCCAACGACCTCAGACTTTCCCAATAACTCCAGAATCTGATGATGATCGCATGACTCCAGACCCTCCTTGACTCCCCAGTGACCTCAGACTCTCCCAATGACTCCAGAATCTGATAATGATCTAATGACTCCAGACCCTCCTTAACCCCCTAATGACCTCAGACTCTTCCAATGACACCAGGCTCTCTCAATAATCTCTTAACAATGCCAGCATCTCCCAATGACCTTTCAATAGACCCAGACTTGCCCAGTGACCCTGCTCCCAAATAACCCCAGTTATTCCAAAGTTGCCTCAATAAGCCAGTCCTTTCCCAATCACCCCAAGCTCTCTGAATGTCCATTCAGTGGTGTTTACGTTTATCTCATAATTATAACAGATGCTCAGTGACTTCTCAATGACCTTCTTCTTGATGTCCCCAAACCTTCCAATGTCCCCAAATGCTCTGTTGACCTGGGGTCTCCTCTGAAGGACTGTTCCATGACCTTGCAGTCATCTGAACTCTTCTGGATTAACCGCAGACCCTCCCACTCTGAACTCCCTGGCTCTTAGTTCCCTTATGATATTCCTTTGACTCTAGACTTTCTTGTATGATTTCTAAATGGTCTCCAGGAGACTATGACTGCCCGGTGACCTCAGGTCTCCCCAGAACTTTCCACTGATCCCAGGACTGCTTCCATGTCCCCCACTGACCACAGAGTGTCCCCTCTGTGATACCTCCCCTCAATGATCCACATTGTCCTTCCCCAGGGTGCGGTTCCTCCTTGGTGGCCGCCATGGCGAATTCAAGTTCCTGCCCCCACCTGGCTATGCCCCATGCCATGAGGCTGTGCTCCCTCGAGAGCGACTCCATCTTGAACCCATCAAGGAGTATCGACGGGAGGGGCCCCGGGGGCCTCACCTGGTGGGCCCCAGTCGCTGCCTCTCACACACCGACTTTGTGCCCTGCCCTGTGGACACCGTTCAGGTACTGCCTGCCCTGCAAATGTTTTCTGGTGAGGCAGGGTCTCTTAGGAGTCAGAGAGAGGGCTGGGTGCCATCGTTCACGCCTATAATCCCAGCATTTTGGATGGCCAGGCACGGTGGCTTATGCCTGTAATCCCAGCACTTTGGGAGGCTGAGGCAGGCGGATCACCTGAGGTCAGGAGTTCAAGACCAGCCTGGCCAACATGGTGAAACCCACTCTCTACTAAAAATACAAAAAATTAGCTGGGCGTGGTGGTGGGTGCCTGTAATCTCAGCTACTCAGGAGGCTGAGGCAGGAGAGTCGCTTGAACCTGGGAGGTGGAGGTTGCAGTGAGCCGAGATCATGCCACTGCACTCCAGCCTGGGCAACAAGAGTGAAACTCCATCTCAAAACAAAACAAAACAAAAAACAAAAATTAGCATGGTGGCAGGTGCCTGTAATCCCAGCTACTCTGGAGACTGAGGCAAGAGAATTGCTTGAACCTGGGAGGCAGAGGTTACAAAGAGCCAAGATCACGCCACTACACTCCAGCCTGAGAAACAGAATGAGACTCCATCTCAAAACAAACAAATAAACAAACAAAAACAACCAACATTTTGGGAAGCCAAAATGGGGGCCTCACACTCGCCCAAAATTTCGAGACTAGTCTGAGTAACAAAGTGAGACCCCATCTTTACAGAAAAAAAGTTTTAATATTTAAAAATTTAAACAATTTTTTAAAAGGAGTAAGAGCGTTGGGGAGCTGCCCTAGAAGCTGGGAACGTTGTTGTTTAACAGATGGAGAAACCCAGCACAGGGAGGCAAAGGATTCTGTCAATGCAGAATCGCAGTCTCAGGGAGTCCTCACCACTGCCCCTCAAAGAAAAGGTGGCTCACAGCCGGGCGCGGTGGCTCAAGCCTGTAATCCCAGC